CCTACCCTCGCTACCAAATATCCCGTGCACGGCAATTGTAATGGGAGTGTATTCCTGGCTGCCGTGTTGTTCCAACACCTCTAGCACGCGGCCTGATTAGGGGGCTGATACTACAAGTAATAAGAATACTCCATCTATTACTCCTACCAATACTCACATTGTTATTAATAGTGATTCTAAAAATATCATTTTTACCGCTGCTGCTATTACTCCTGCTATCATTACCATTTCTACTGTCGCGATTACTACTAATAATGCTACTTCCACTGTTAATTTTACTACTTCAGTTGCTATCATTACGACTGTTATCAAAACTAATACATGAAATAACATTGCTGCTCAAAGAGCAGCTCTTGTGATGGCTACGACTGTTGCTGCAGCTTTTACTAGCACTAATAACGACCTTCTGATACTACTACTGCTAACATAGCGCTAATACTATTACTATTGTTGCTGTTGTTGCTACTACCAATCAAACAATCCTTTACCAATTACTACTGGTGCTGCTGATGATATTATTATATTTACTTTTGCTGCTTATACAAGGATGCCCAATACTATTACCTTTAATGATACCAATACTCCTACTTATATAATACCAATACGACTTCATCTACTAGCATTACTACTGATGCTTCTATTGTCACTGCCCATCAGACTACTGATTAAACATTAACTTATTAGAATAATACTTTAAGCGTGAGTTTATATGCCTTCTTTATTTAAATCTCTGAAATTACTTACCCAGCCCTTACGGCTTTTACAGTTTCTGTATAAATTTACACACTTACGGTGACAATATTTCGCCTCTGTTGCTACTTTCTGCCTATCAGTGCATCCATGTAAAAACGTTCTGTTTCAAGCGTCCAGTCACAAAGAAGAATCTGATAGGTTAGAATGGCTATATCGTTTTTATTCTGCCTCAGCACATTTATGATGGAGTGGCGTTCACCGACTAAAGATTAGGGTTCCGATCATCGTTTGGGTTCAGGTTTGTGTTAGGTTTAGGACGCGAATATATTTACCCTTTTCTGGAGTTAAGCGGGTCCTTTTATAATGATATCTGGAAACTACCGAAAGTTCACAGTCAGACAGCCCTTCTATAAGGGGGGGGGTAGGCTGTTTCTGTGTTAGGGACCATACTGTCGGCTAATAAGCACCGCAGCTGTCTGCGTAAAGGAACAACTCGAACCTAGAAGTCGGGCCTGGGGATGTTTCTCCGCGGTCGTTCATTCGCCGTAGGTGAGTGTTTTAGACCATAATCAGGAGGAATGTGATCTTTTCCGATATAACCTGTGTGAGCTTTCGCAG